GAAAATACAGGATGTGAGAAAACTTTCTGATAGACAGGAGGCATCAAATCCCCTTAGTGTTGCAGAACGTTATTTCATTACGACGTTAACTACTGATAGACAGTCTTTAATAAAGTTGATCGATTATTACAGTCTTTTGGGATAAACATGCCTTCCTTTGGCTTTGTATGTATGTAATGCCATCTAAAGACCTGGGCATCATTCACTCCAGCAGTGAGCGATGAAGCTTTCCTAGAGCTTTGGTAAAAACTTGACATTTTCATCATAGATTTCACATTTGATTCCAAAAAGAAACGGCCTAATAATGCTATACCATCACTTTGGGCTGGACACTAAATCAATGACAATATACACTGCTCAAAAAAATAAAGGGAACACTCAAATAACACATACTAGATCTAAATGAATGAAATATTCTCATTGAATACTTTGTTCTGTACAAAGTTGAATGTGCTGACAACAAAATCACACAAAAATCATCAATGGAAATCAAATTTATTAACCAATGGAGGCCTGGATTTGGAGCCACACACAAAATTAAAGTGAAATGTTCCTTTTATTTTTTTTGAGCAGTATATTGCGATAGACATGTGATCAATATCAATGGATAACACATCTGATAGAATATTCAATATTCAGTATATTAAATATTCACTGAATTGGATGCATGGAAAATAGAAATCCACATTCACAATCGAAAAGTTGCAGTGAAAGCTTAACTTTTTTTCAGTAAGTGAACCTGCACCAAACAGCCTGTATGGTGCTGCTGTTAAAATCTTAATCCATTTTATTCTAAACTTATTAAGTAAGGACTTCACTTGGTTTTGAAAACTAAGTGAGTAAAATAATGATCTATTCGAGGTAAAGTTATGTTCTCTTAGGTGTGTAATATATATGTTTTTACTGGTCATCTTTGCGAGGTACTTTTTTCCTCACCAGGCTGTTGATTGAGCAGAAGCAGCAGCAGGGGTCAGCTCCCATATCCACAAGCTGCTGACATCAGATCAGAAAACATGAGCTACAATCAGACCTCAGTGCTCTCATTTTGCTGTATTCTGTCTAAAGAAAATCAATGGAGTTTCATTAAATTCCTCTGGAAACTGTCAACAGGAGAGCGGGGGCGGGGGGGAATACAAAACCTGAGGTGTGTTTGAATAGCAACGTTAAAATAAAGATATTTTGAATGTCTAAGCAGCAGAAGCGTCTTTGTGGATTTAACGTAACGCACTTCAGCCCGAACAATTCACCACGTTGTGAAGAAGTTTACTCATTGAAATTTGCACCTTTGTATGCTTTTACAGATTTGTTTGAGTCTCTCTGTCATCATTCAGCAAAATCCATGATTCAGTGTCAATTGTGTTGATGTAAGGATGACTCAAGTAAACCTGCAGTCCTCAAATCTTCTCTTAAGCTTTTGATTCGTTCAATCCCTGGAGGTAGTGGTTCAGATTGAAATTGCATCTGTGGGCTCTCCCACTGTTTGGTATTAAAACGCCGGCACTCCGGTGTCGCTCAGCGTAGCTCGGAAAGAGGCTCAGCAGTGTTGTGTAACAGCAGAAATTCATCAGCAATGCAAGAAGGGGACATGCTAACATTATGTTTCGGGGCTTTGGTTTGATCACTGCGTATTGCGTGCGCATCGCACTCATTCTCGGTGTGCGGTGACATAGGAAAGATGACGAACACGACCAACTGCTCTCTGTGCCTTTGTATTTTCTGGGTGAGCACACATGTGAGTCGTGGCGTCATCGTGCTGCGTGAGTCAGACGTAGCATTCGTCGAAATGTGGGTGGCGGTGAGAGGCGCGCATGTCGAAATACTCCTCGCAACACATCACATTTGTCTTGTTTCATTCTGATTGCTGCCTAACACCCACTTTCTATAGAGCTGGGGAGCATCACACATCAAATTTATGTCTGTGGGAGGCTCCCTTTTGTGTTCTCTTGTTGTGACGAACAGTTGCGATGAATGCAGAGAAGCTGCTGAAAGGCGGGATGTGACAAAAGCAGCAGGAAACTCTGCTGTTTAAATATTGATTGAATAGAATCAAAATTCAGGTGCCTGAGTCACAGAACGCACCCTAACGACAAAAAAAAGCAGGACGTGCTTGAACAGGATATTTATCCCAGTTTAATGTGAGCTCCCAGCTGGGAGGGGAACTCTCTGCTCCAGTTTTTTTTTACTTTTTATTTTTTTATGAAGCCTTCAGGTGTTACTGTACATCAAACAAGTCTGCGTTCAGCCAAGGCTGAGTCCATGAAAAGATGGTAACCTTTACAAAGACGCAGTCTTGTCATTTCCCAGCAGCAAGCGAATGCTTCATTTTAAAAAGGAGAAGATTCCCAGAAGAGAGGCTGGAGTGACCAGAGTTTCTACCAGTAATGTAATGTAGTTCTGTGTCCTCTCCACCTGCTGCTGTGTACTTTCAGTCACCTGGGTGAAATATTTCACATTTCTCTTGCTTACAGGAAAGGCAACTTGAAAAATATATTTATTATACACTCCCTTCACGTTATTGTGGATCTGCCATGGGAAGACACAATACTACAGGAAGATTCCCACATCACTTTGCTGCCATTTGCAATTTGATCACAAGCAATACTGCCACATGAATTTATCAAATGACCAAATATTCTGCCGCCTGAACGCTGCATAAAGCGTTCAGCATAAATGAGGTACCTGTTCCTGATGCCGCTGCTCAACGCTCTCCTGCAGAAAAGGAGTGACATAAGCTCGAATGATGTGACACGACTTGATTTCTCATTGCATTCCTTTCATTTTTACACATTTAGATCTGTGAAAAACATGTTTTCAATTCGCTACCATACATGATAAGGTAGAAGACACAGTGCTTAAATTTGTGCAGATTTTAACAGTCTCATTTCACGCACTATTAACTCCTCGTTTTGATTTTTGAAAAGTAACGCTAGGCGTCTAGCAAACTGATATTATTTGGATAATTAACCAGGTTAATGCCGCGGTTAGCTCGCCTGTAGTCTGCTGCTTTACAGACGTGAAACTTTATTCTCTTAGCATGCCAAATGTACAAAGCATTAATTTTAGTAATGGCTAATTGAGTCCATTAATTGGATGGTTCTCCTTCAGTCTCTTTAGCAGCTGACTTCAGATAGCCTGATAAATTAACCAGCTAATATCAGGTAAATGTACTCTACTCTATAAAGTAGGAATGCTAAAGCTATGGTGTTCTAGGCACCTGAAAACTAATAAAAATTATGTTTTTGCTTAAGTCAAAATCAAAATAATAGCATAAAAACATTACGGATAATGTTAATAAAACTAATAATTAACATGATATATTATTTCCACTGCAGTAATAGTTTTTTTCTGGTTTAAATAAAAGCAGTTCGATTATTTCTCTTTAAAATTCTTGTGTAAAAACCACTTACTGGCAAAATATTGTCCCATATCTACTTACTTCTCAATTTAGATTTACAATATTTCCAAATAGCCATGATCACTAAACTTTTGGCACTGCAAAGTATCCACACAAACAAACTATTGCACACGCCAGCTGTTGTGGCCTGAATTTTAGGCTATATCTGAAATTAAATCAAACATCAGGAGCTGAGTTTGGCCTCCACCGCAGCCCTGGCTGAACCGTGGTGATTATGGGGCCATCTGCTCCCAGTGTGCCCAGCTGGAGGCTGGAGCAAAGTAATCTGAACTGATGAAGCCCGACTTAGCCTGTGCTGTTTGCGCTTCTCAGAAATCAAAGCCTCGAATGTAACCGTTGGCTATCAAGTGATCAAATGAGGCGTTCCGTTTTTTATATCCAGCAAGTGTATTCACGTCAACGCATGTTGTACTGCAGGAAACCAGGGAACACGACATGGAACACGGAGCAATATTTTCATTGTGGCCCATCGGCGTCATCTGAGCAGAAAATTAATGGATTCAATTAGCCATTAGTCAGAAACGTATAGTAATGAGTCCATCCGCAGCGCTAACGTGCTCGATCCCGCTTTGTCCGTTCTGTACCAGGAGCGTCTGGCAGGCTAATGTTGCCTCTCTCTAATATGCCACACCAGGAAGGAGCCTGATGGAGCCTATTAATAATTAAGCAGCGTGATTACAGTGATGTATGCCCCTAATTCTAATTCCATTTAGCAGCAATCTCGGAAAGAAGGCCGTGCAGAAGAGTGTCGCGCATTGTGTTAAAGCTGTTAGAGAGAAGGGCAGGGAGATGGGGATGGGATACAGAGGGAAGCGATGGACGAGGGATCGAGTTCAGCCTTGGGAGGAGGCAGAGGAGGGACAGGATGAAAAAGAGCGAGAGGAAGAGAGAAGGAGGGACTCACGAGCAGGAAGACACCCACTATTCAGCCATCTGTGCTACAAAAACACACAAAGGGTTCAAGAAGGATGTGTGTGTGTGGAGTGTATAGTATATAGCAAAGGCTTGTTGATTTGTGAAGGTTTTTGAAATGATACCATTAAATATGTGTAAGGCTCTATTAAAAATCAGGAGCTGATCAGTTTACTTGAGTATTAGACTCTGGTCTGTTACAAAATGTGACATTTATTTTCCAAACTCCTGCTGCATATCTGCCCAGAACAGATCGGTTCTTTTATACTTACCTTTTTGTTTTGTATGGTTAGAAAAAGAACAAGTACACCCAATTCTACACTCAGTTATTTATTAATGTGTAAGTTCACGTCGATGGCTCTATTTTTTAATTTTTTTTGCATTTATTTGTGTTAAAGAAAGTATTTTAATTTCAAGCAAAGACCAAACATAATCCTGTTTTAAGATAAAATAGAAAACATACAAGTAAGACCACTTTTTTTACCCCATTGAACATTGAACATACAAAGCCGTGTGGTGATTTCAATAATGTGTCAATAAAGTGTTTTGAGGGTTTTTTTTCTCTCTTGAGTAAAAAAAAAAGTATTTCTTCCCCTAGAACATTTACAGTAACTTTTTAATTTTTTTTTGTTTATATACTTGTATATTTTGAAAACATATCTCTTATGTTAAGAATTTGTTTTTTGTTTTTGTTTTTGTAGGCCAAAACTAAATAATTATGTCAGTAAAAATAAGTACTTCGTAGCAAAGCATAGAGACGATGCTGCGCTGCTCTATGTCATTCAATGCTGCGCTGATAGTGCAAGTGGCAGTCAAACAAATAAAAACACATAAGAATGCAAAAAATAAAAATCTGAAGATAATAAACATAAAAATATTTAACCAAACTGCACAAATTTGCATGATATTGGTGAGACGGAACCTCCTGTGTGACTGCGACTGTACAAACGAAGTGTTGCTGCCAGCACATCGGCACGTAAACACACTGCATCTGCTTGGACCATGTGCCTCAGTTCTTCAACATACAGCCCGGCAGCAGCTTGTAAAATGTGACAAATGATGGGTGGGCTCCCCTGCTCTGAATCCTTTGCTCTTGGCTTGCTCGCCAGGGCCGATAGATTGCATCATTACAGAGGATGAAGTCATACTGCAACATAAGGGAGGAACAGGTGCTGAAAATTTAATTAGCACAGGAAGATAGATGCTGGTGGAACATGCAAATGTAGCTCCCTGACCCAAACTCAATTCTGACTGACGGGAACATTTACGTTCAGCTTGCGGCAGATCGCACCGCTTTGCTTTTCTTTAACGCTCAGCGTGGCAGCATCGTTTCCTCGACAAGACGAATATCTGTAAAAATGCCGGCGGCCGTCTTTGGGTATGAACCATCTGCTCCATAATGACTGGTGCGGAGTGATTTTGTCATCGTCGAGCAGAGGATTAGTCAGTGGTGCATCTTGAGGAGCCTAGCAGAGAAACAGGGGAACTGAGGAAGGCAAAGAAAAGGTTGAGGAGGTTGAAATCCAATCGATGTGTCTCCCCATATATCACCGGGTTGTTATTAATGATGCAGTCTTCCCTGCAGTGGGAGCTGTCAGGGTACTGAGCTGTCAGCCTATTCAGCCTCATCAGCACTACGGCATGATCTGTGGAGCACAAGATTGTTGGGCAGCACCACTGTAGTAGCCCCAGCCTCTTCTGTGCATGGTGACTGTACACTCCAGAGATGTGTACAGGTCCTGTCCATTGCAAAAAAAAAACACACAAAAAAAACACTATTTACATGCACATGATCTAACCAAAAAGAATCACATTAATATTTTCTCACCCTTTCACACTGTAGTTTTAGACATGTCTTGATCCAAATAATTCAACGGCAGTGATAATTTATAAAACATGTCAAATTCTGTGTCAAGTATTCCAAGTTCAGAGATTTTAATTTTTCGGGTTCCACCTTTGCCCATGCTCCATCCCACCGTCCATGTTGACAAGTGATTGGCTTGATGGTTTTATTTAATCCCTCCTCAGACACACAGACATAGAAAACAACAAATGCATCATTTCCCCGCTGAAGATAAAAGTGTGATTCTCATAAAAAATTTTCTGGGCGCAAATCCAACTCTGTCTCTGCCAGGTAGCTTCTGCCCTTGATGCTGTGGTGTTTGAAAGTGTGCAAACGTCTCAGTCAAACTCCAGTTTTTGTGCCCAACTCTTTTTTTTTTTTTAAAGTGTGGAGATTGGCTGTACAGGTGAGTTTGTTCACACATGCTCAAGGAGCACACTTCTAGATTTTTCTTCTGTTAACTTTGGTATTTTCAATTAAAAACCTCCCGTGGGGAAAGTTTTGTTTTTCACAAGTTATGAAGACGTTTAGTTAGAGATGTTCAGAGAAATCGTTAACCAGAATTAATGGTTTGTCAGAAGCTAGAAAATGTAACGTTTTCTGATCAGTGAACCGACACTCTACGGCGCTCTGAATGAAGAAGGCATGAAGCTGTTTTCATTACTATACTTACCTTTTTAGATTGAGCTCAGCCGAAGCACAGAGGTGCAAGAAGACACTCAAGAAGGAAAAATGTCATTTCTCTTCCACATCAACAGTATTTGGTTCATTCAAGATGTGAGAGAATAACAGAGAGTAAAACATTCAGAAGATCCCAGGACGTTTGAACAGAGTTCAGCAAAATTACATGACTGCACTAATTGCTAATATCAGAGTTTATTTTTGCCTGTTTTAAAATACTAGCAAGAATGCTGTTTTATGATGTCAACACTGTCATACAGCAGTGTGAGGCTCCTTCTGCTCCTCATTTATTTAATGACTGGTTGAAATTTAAAAAAAATCTTCTTTTATTATCACAACCATTATATCACTTATGTGTGAGGAAAACAATATTCACTTTAATTTTAATGAATTAATTAGTGCAGTCTCAGTGTGGCTGTGTGTGCATCTACATCATTCAAAACATCATATTTTTAGTTCTTAAAACTTAAAAATGTAAAACCTAGAAATGAAATGAAAATCGGCTTCAGAAAAACAGAGGTCGGAAATTGGCCGCAAAATCCTGACCTGTGCATCCTGAGCCTTGTGTTTTTCTTTGTTTCTAGTTTGGGTTCTCCATTCACAGCTGGACTTTTTTTTGCCTTATTTGAAATGTATTTCAAAATTTAACAAAATACATTTCAATCCTACGACTACTTACAATCTAAAGCAAAGGTTCCCAGACGCCACATCGCCCATCACTGAGCTAAAGTATTTTCTATTAGATACTGTGTTATCAGAGGTGATCACAACATGGGGCAGCTATAATCTCATTCTCAATCTGGCTTGAGACCTCCAGTCTAGCCTCGCAGAACTGGGCTGGAGGTCTGGGTCTCGGGCTCCTGATGGACCGCTATTGATTCAGGAGAAAGGTGGCGATACAGTTGCAGTCGCTTCGCATTGATTTTCTGCAAGTGCAGTAGTGGAGAGCTGGCAGAATGAGAGAGCTGGAGCTGCCGTGTTATCTTCTCAGATATCAGGAAGTTCGTTTATTTATTTTTTTTATTTATTTGTCTTTGTGGCACTGACCTTTTCTGATGCAGAGGTACGTCTGTGGAGGAACTGGCTCAGCAGGGCCGACGATTTGAGCAGCGTCATCCCATGTCTGTCCTAAAAAAATAAAAATAAAAAAAAGGAAAAACAGCACAATTAAATAATTGAAAACAGTAATTTTAATTTTGCATTTTGAGGCATGTGGTGATAAAAGGTCTACATTATGGTTGTGCTTTCTGAATGCAGAATTAAGCTCAAAGGAGAAGATGACAAAAATGTATATGGCTAAGAGGTGGCACGATCGTATCTCTGCCTTCCAACCCGATGCGTTACCTGCAGTACGAACTTAATGGAAACGGAAGGAAAACATCTAAAAGTGTTTTACGCTTCTTTTAGAAATATATAATATATATATATAGATTTTTCCCCAAAGCAATCAGTCATCCACAAATTAACAAGAAAGTTGATTACATTGTGTCACACAAGCAAAATGGAGCAAAAATCTTCCTCTGGTCATGAAATATTGAACATTGTGTAATGCGTGATAGACGCAGACAGCACACTGTGCTCATGTTTCAATTCAGCGTGTGGCCCGGAGATCCAATTCAACCAAGCCAATAACAAACCCAATCTGTCAAGAATCGGTGCGAATGACGAAGATGACCCAGATGCAGAACACGCTGGAGACGCGGCTGTGACTGAGTACTCCAATAAACAAGACAAGGAGCTGAACAAATATGCAGCGTAACGCAACGGCGATCAGCAAACCCCAGGCTAGCCATGTAGGCCGAGAAACTGATGGCAAATGTAAAACTGGTGAGCAACCATTGGCATTAACCTCGTAGCACGAATAGGAAACCATTTTAACCACGTGATCATGTTAGAAAGTGAAGATAATACAGCCTGAATTTATGAATTTAAAACAGAAGCTGTGCAAAAACATTACTTTGAGTAAACAAGGGTTGAAAAAGCAAGTGACTACATATATTTTATGTTTTCTGTTATGATTTAAATCAATAAATTCATTTGTGTGGCTTTGCACGCATTCAGTTACTGTATGCAGATATCTTTGGAATGTAAACACCGAGCATGAGCCGGTCACCGATCACAAGATAAACTAAGGATTTAAAAATCAAAATTGAACAGTATGGAAAGATTCCCATTCACAAAACACGGTGACAATGGCAGCGTGTAAACTAAGGGAGCAACATGATTTGTAATGGTTTTTCTTGTCAAAGTCCAAACAGAAGTAAAGAAATTTTCAGAAATCAATATGTTACATTATTTTAGCAATTACTTCTCTTGCTATTTAAATAAAAATCGTATTGTAGACTTCCCTTAACATTGCATTAATACTGTAAAACCAGGACATTTTATTTTGTTCATACTGTATGTGCAACTTTTTTTTTTTTAGGTGCTGATTTTAATCACCATCCACCTGTAACTGACCGTTTTATATATCTACACATGTTTTTATGAGCTGGTTTGTTTTTTTTTTTTGTTTGTTTTTTTTGATGGTGTGCTTCTTTTAGGCAGTGATTTTGACTCGAGAACACTGGGGGTCATAAATTACTGAAAAATAACAAAACTAGCCACAAGCCTGGAGCTGCAGAATGGATGAAAGATGGCGTAGCTTAAAAACAGCAGGAGGATAGAAGAACATGCAGGGGACAAAAGTCATTTTTCTTTTTCAAAGCAGAGGAAGTAAACTTTGCTGTACAGCTTGCAACCCTGCTAGGAGTTCAAAAAAAAAAAAATGAAATCAACAAAAACATTGCAAACATCCGCCTTTGTAAGTGTGACAAAAGCGATATGCAACCTTAAACCCCAAAATCCTCGACGTGCTTTTGGAAACGGTGGAACGTTTTTTTTTGTTTGTTTGTTTTAAAGCAGATCCGTAGTTTACAAACGGAAAAATCTGCTAAGGCATGCAGAAACACAAACTCCTTTTAGTTTAATTAGAATGCACAGACTGCTGAGGGCTTATTGTATTTATTGTACATTTACTCGCAGGGTTTTGAATATTTATTTTATCCCGTATAAATTTTAATTAGGACTTCAAACACTTTAGCTCTGTTCGGCCCAAGCAGGGCTTTTCCTTTGATCACACGTCACTCTCCCCTACTTCTTCTCCCAGATTTCTTCCCTGCGGGATGCTTGCTTCTAATTGGCACCGCGTCGCTCGTCTCGTCTGTCGTCAGTAGGTCTATCTGGCTGTCTGTCAGCGCAGATGAAAAGGACACGAGCCAAACGCCGGCTCCAGGCGATACGGGGATGGCTTTTTTTTTTTTTTTTTTTTTTTTTTGGGGGTAAATTTCAGGGTTGGACGGTTAACAATGTAACGTGCTCTCCAACATGAATCCTGCTGTAACCACAGAAACTCACCCCGATATTCCCAAATGTGTTTTTTTTGTTTGACATGTATTCTTTGCATCAAAAGAAACATGGAATATGTCTTATTGTCATGATGCCTAAGGGCTCTATGGAAACGGTTTTGTCTGTTGGCGAAGAGCAAGTCCTTGTGTGTTGTGTTTAAAGAGCCGCCGGGCCCCTCCCTTCCTTTATTCCTCCCCTGGCTCCCTCTGTCTCTGCACTGTGTGTTAATGTAGTGAAGTGGCGCGTCGGTCAATGAGCTTGTATTAACACCTGACTCCCAGACCTAGCCGGTGTTTGTTCCTCTGTGTGGGCTCCCCTGAGCCCTCCCCCAGGCAAAGGCAACATCTCCTAGGATCAATACCAGCTTTCTACAAGGCCAGGGAAGGAAATCAGGCCGAAGGGGTGGATGGGAGCAGAGCTTTAAAGTGCATCTGCACCATTTACTGATTGGACACTGATATGAGTTCTGAGTTTCTGACCTGCTAATCGCTGATCAAGACCAATCAAGCTAAAAAATAAAAAATAATAATAATTAATTAAACCCCTGTCAACATCTCTGTTTTTAATTCTGGTTTAATTTTTTATTTGTTTTTGCCATTGATTAGCACTGTTATGCATAGATACTTACCTTAAATCTTAGATTTCCTAAAATCCACTGACATTTCCAAATGTCCATGACTGACAGATGCTGAAGGACTCAAAAGGATGAACTGGAGCAACTTTGCTGTGCTTCACTAAGCCTTCCTGTTATCTGCTCTCTCCCACAGTCTGAATGTACTGCAAACATGCATCAAGAAATTATATAACATAATCTCTTTTTGAATAGCTTCATCCATCTCTGAACGTTTTTCTTCATGTTAAACTTCATGCTCACTGATAAAACTGCCAGCTTTTAGTCTTTTGTCACTCAAAAACCATTGTGAGAACTGGTAGCTCTTAGTGTGTTGCATTCGATGATCAGAAAAAGATCCGAGTTTTGAGATTATAACTGTGCTTTATGTAAACACATCCACACAGCCAGTCTCCAGACTTGAAAATAATAAGTTTTGTTAGGGCAGTCTGCACGCTCTCATAACAACACTAAGCGCCACCATCATCAGGAGACGATACCTTATGAAGATGGAGAGTTGGATTAGAGCCCAGAAAGGTTTTATGTAATGAACACATTTTCTTTTGCCAACAAAATATTTTGTTTTTATGTATGTAGAGAGATTAAAGAAGCTATTAAGCCATTGTTGATCGAACTAGATTTCATTTTAAGCATAATGGTCACAAAACTAGCTAACTTTTAGTGTTGTTGTCAGTGCATCCCAATAATTAGGATGATTCTTTCATTTAGTGGAAAAATTACAAATGTTTAATTTTTTATTTATTTTATTTTTTTGATTGGCTGTTTCCCAGAGGATGCACTGACCAGTTTTTGTCGGTTTTTAGATTGCAGAATTGCTGCTCTCCTTTTTAACGCCTCCACAGTCGATTCTCCTGTACATTATCCCAACCTGCTTTTTCGATCTTCCACCTCTTCTCAGCCTTCCACTCAGGCTTTTTCTATTTGCAGTTAGAGCTAGAACTGTCTACCCCCGAACAAGCTACATATCCTGTAATGTCCGCCACAGTGCTCTGGTGTCAACTTCTCTCTCTCTTCTCTTTCCCTCTGCTCTCCAGGCTTTTGCCATGACCGAGGTGAATGGGCCGGGTCCCCAGCTGGCGGAGCCACAGATCGCCATGTTCTGTGGCCGACAGCTCATGCACATGAACTTAAAGACCGGGCAGTGGGAGCCGGACCCTCAGGGCCGCCAGGGCTGCTTCAAAGATCCCAACGAAATCCTGTCATACTGTCAGGAGGTAAGGGGATCTGAACATGAAAGATTAAATAACAGCATTTTTTTATTATGTCACACAACTGGTTACATTTTTCCTCTTTTGGTTTGTCTAAAACCTCCCCCTTAAAATCTATATATTAACTATATATAGTAAAGAGATGGCGGTCTGCTGAAATATTACAGTATTTCACCAATGCGCCACCATCCTCCTCTCCTCTTCTTGTTACTTTTTACTATACCCGTGTGTTTTCAATGGCACTCGTGCTCCTGAAACAATCCTCCTGTAAGAATGTCAATTCAAACCAGGGCAGCAAAGGGTCCCAGACGCCACCTGGAGGCCAAAACAGACACGTCCTCTACAGATGGCATCCTTAGAGCTGAAAGGCCTCTAATGTGATTATCTGAGACATAATGCATCTGCAGTGCCTTTTACACGAAGCTTTGCTTTTATCCTTTTGCATTCAAGCAGATAGCATTAAAGCCTGCATCTAGACTGAGCTATTTACATACCTGCTGCTATTAAGCGACAATGTAAGCCTGTGTTCCAAACCGTTGAGCTACATTTAAGTGAAAATACATGTAAAATGGAATGTGCTGAAATATTTATTGTAATATACTCCTAGGGAGGTGTTTCTGATGCCGTTCAACACAAAGCGCTGTCGTATATTTATGCAATCTGCTGCATGACTGTTTCCCCTGTCAGTTTTGTCCTTCTCCTCTGATCCTGGAAATGATTTTTTATCCCTTACTTTAAAAATGTTTCCTTGCCCTCCCCACCTCCCCCCTGGCACCCCTTGTTCTGTCCACCTACCAATCTGTTTCTGTGTCTTTGGCGTCTCTGCATGCACCCGTACCGTCCAGATGTACCCAGTGCTTCCAATCTCACACATAGAGGAGTCTAAAAGACCCGTAACCATCCAGGCCTGGTGCAAGAAAGGGTTGGACCACTGTCAGACGCGCCCCTTGATCGTCCTGCCCTACCGCTGTGTGGGTAAGAAGGAATCATGATTTGATTTTATTTTATTTCTTTATTTTTTATTTTTTTTGGTTATCAGTGGCCTGATGTAACCACTGCGCCCGGACGAGCAAGAAATTTGACACAAAGTAAATGCAATCCTGGGAAAGGATTGCATTTAATTGTTAATTTAATTGTTTTCCTAATGTGGGCAACTAAAAACATAACTACGTATGGACAACTGTTTGAGTTTCCAGACTTAATCCCCTATTCCTGGCAAATAAAGTTGTTTTGTTTTTTCCTTAGTTTCTTTTACTGATTTTTGTTTTCAGGTAGACCCATTTCACTGTCTTTCTGACCAAAAGACCAATTAGAGTTATTTATTTATTTAATTTAGATCAGGGTTTTGCCATGGAAACCCATGTTTGTATGACAAACAAAGCTGTGACAATAATATCACACACAAACAGTAGTTGTGAAGAATGTGTGTGTGTGTGTGTGTGTGTGTGTGTGTGTGTGTGTACTGCTGGATGAACTAGTCCAAACCGTAGAAGTTCCGGTGTTATAGATCGTGAAACAAAGCAGACGTAATTTGGTATGTTGGCCAAAAACAGCATGACATACCACGCGGCTCAGTTGGAAACCCTGTGCTTTTTAATAGTCTTTGGAGCAGTTTTATAAATTTAGTTAGAATTCAAGGTTGCATGTATCGTTCTGCTTCAGATGCCTTCTCTCCTAAAAGCCACCAGGGGGCCAGATAAGCTAACAATGGTTAAGCAACTGACGTCTCGGCAGCACTTTTGATTTCCACTGTAAGGGCCGTTCAGTTAGTTCTTTTCTTTTTTGTAAGTCTAAAGCAGCATGTGAAATGCTAAATTATATAATTAATATATGCATTAATCAATGTGTTGTATTAATACAAAATTACCTGCATTTGTGGCCTTACTTTCATGACAGCTACATAACATTTTACATTCATTTTGGTCAGAACAAGCCTTTAATAAATCTTTTTTAAATTGCCGCTTTAATTCTAGCTCACATTCTTTTTGCTGCAGAAGGCGAATATGTAAGCGAGTCCCTGCTGGTGCCCGACAGATGTCGTTTCCTCCACCAGGAGCAGATGAACATCTGTGAGAGTTATGTCTACTGGCACAACATTGCCAAGGAGGTGAGAACAAGTTATGTTTTAGTCAAGCTTGGACTATTAGGGTTGAAGTGGAAAGTTTTAAAACTAGTGAGGTTGATTTCTCTCTCTCTCTTTTTTTTCTTCTTTTTTTAACATTTGTGTGGGTTTAAAATGTCTCTTCCAATCAACGCAGATCGAAAACCTTTACCACTCCAAGCCGTGAAGCTGTGAGCAGCACCGCAAAGCATAAAGTTAACACTCCCTCTTAGACACCTTCAGTATTTTTAAATTACTTTACATAGTTTGCTAAATATTTTACTGATAAAAAAAAAAATCTTAAGTGTGGTAAGTGTTTGTACTCAGCTTTGGCTTTGATTGAAGCTCTGAGTTCTTTGGGGTTTGTCGATACCAGCCTTGCACATCTAGAAACTGAAACTTTTGGCAATTTAGAAAAAAAGGAAAAAAAAAAAAGCTTAAGCACAATTAGCATGGATAGAGAGCATCAGTGAACATCAATTTTCAGGTCTTGCCCCAGATTTTAAATTTGATTTAGTTCTTGACTTTGACTGGGCCTTTCTTCCACATGAGCATCCTTTGATCTAAACGATTCCATTGAAGCTGTGAGAGTCTGTTAAGGCTGGAAGGTGAACCTCCACCTGAATCTCAAGTGTTTTGCAGCCTCCTGCAGTTTTTGTTTCACAATTCAGCTGTATTTAGCTCAATATATCATTGCATTGGCTTTAAGCAACTTCACTCACAAAGAAGAGTATTTTAAAGCAAACTATTTTGGGCAAAATTCACATTTTGCGTATTATACTTCAATTTGGGTATCAGCTGCTTCAAAAAAACCCCAGCCTGAATGCTTTAAGAAACACCCAGCCATTTTGTGGCAATGAGGCGATCTTTTTTTAGTGTCTGGAAAAAGAGCTGTTTCCAAAACCTTCTCATTGTTAAGTCACTCTGTATCGTTGCCTAGCAACCCCAGCCGAGCCCAGCCCCTCACATAGCAACCCGAATGTAGGTCCAGCACATTTGGTCAACCGGTCTACTGCCATATGCCCCGCACAATGGCTGCTGGAAAAGACATTTGTTTTATTGTTGGCTTAACATTCAGAAAGTCTGCTGTAGGTTTTAGTCGAGGGGTATTGGAGTAAAAGGGAATGCGTACAAATGCGTGCCACACTTTTCAGATTTTACGTGTAATAAAAAGTGAAAATCATTTTCTTTTTCCCTTTACAATTACTTGCGTCATTGTGTGGGCTTGTCGTATAAAATCCCATTAAAATACACTGAGGTACTTCTATGTGACTAAAGTGTGAAAAAGTGCAGGGAGTTTAAACACTTCTGCAGGAAATAAAAGACACTATTTAATACCTCAGTACTGTTTTTTTTTTTTTTTTATCTTTTATCAGAGTATTGACTCAGCATCCTATAAATAACACCCTAAATTAGACTCCCTCCTCTGTCTTCCCTTGTGTCAGGAATGCACCGCTGAGAATCTCGAGCTCCACAGCTACGGGATGCTGCTGCCATGCGGAGACCACTTCCGAGGCGTCGAATATGTCTGCTGTCCGGGCCGGAGCAGCTCAAACGGAAAAGGAGAGACAGAGGAAAAGGATGTGCCTCAGACGCTCGCGTCCCAGACAGCCGGAAAACTCAACTCAGTGTAAGACGACTCCGCCGAACCCTTCGAAGGCCGCTATTTCAGAAACTAGCCCCCATCTTAAAAACTAACTATTTTCCACAGCGCCAAGGCGATGGTCCCCACTCCGAGCCCCTCTCCGGAAACGGACCTGGACGAGGTCGACATGGAGGACGAGGACGACGAAGTGATAGATGAGGAGGAAGAGGAGGAAGAAGAGGAAGACGACGTCAATGAGGACGAGGCAGAAGAAGAGGAGGAAGAAGAAGAAGACGAAGAAGAAGAGACAGCGGCTGTGAAGGACCGGGAGGAGTACGAATACCCTTTTGAGTTGGGTCCTTACCAGACGTCCGACTACTTGGACTCGTTTTACAACGACAAAAGCCACAAACCCACCACCTCTGCCCCTCTGGTCAGGGGAGACAGCTGTAAGTGACTCGTTTTTTCCGAAACAAATGCAGCCGCATAAGCAGCAGTTGTGGAAAATGGCCCTCGGCGCCACTCCTACTGAACACGTCATCCCTCGCAGTCACAGATCCGAAACATATCACCGCATACTACAGTGCATGTATGCATTGCTGCATGCTACATGTACAACTGGAGCTCCATTTCCTTCCAGTTCAACTTCCCATCAGTATTTTCTAACCCCCTTCACCTCAACAAATGTTCATGTGAAAGTGTTTCACTTTAATCTGGTGCATAACGTACATTCACAACCACAGCAAGGCCACAGCAGAGTTCATGCTTGTGTGTGTGTGCACAGTAAATACAGAAGCTAACCACGGCACATGAAAGTTCCGATCAGAACGATTTCAGGATGGTAGATCGATATTAAATGATACTGGCTGCTCGGGGCTGCACAGAAAGTGGCGAGTGAAATACCCGCAGGCGGACTGTTGTGTTGCTTTGTGTTATTTTAAGGGGATAAACAGTTATCCTTTTGCTAAGATTCAAATTTAATCTAAGAGTGAAAGCAAAAGCTCTCAGTCTGTGTTACCACTCGGCTTAGGCCTCGTTATAGAAAAAGAAAGAGTTAAAGCTTCTCCATTGCACATCAGAAGCGAGCTAGAAGAAACCATATCTCATCGCTTTCCTCATTAGTAAACTGCATTTTTAGAATGATGGTGCTCAGATGATGGACTGTCTAATGAATGTGCTTAGACTATCCATTTATTCATGGGGCGATTGTTGCCGTGCTTATGCCGCCATTAACAATCAGCTTCCTGTTGTTCCCATTCAGTCACCACAACTCGCCCCACGGATGGGGTTGATGTTTACTTTGAGAAGCCTGTGGACGACACGGAGCACGCCAACTTCCTACGTGCCAAGACCGACCTGGAGGAGCGCAGGATGAAGCGCATTAATGAGGTGAATTTCACAGGGCGGGGAGTGGGGAAGCCGCACGTCGGGCTCGTTTTGACAGACGTTTGCTCTTGTTTTTCCATTAAATTAACAAACGAGAGTCTGTTGGCGTTTGCCGAGCCGCTGAGGCTTTTCGGTCCCCTCTGCACATTTTTTTTTTGTCAAGTTGGGAATTAATCAGAGAAGTAGCCAAGAGGCCAAGAGACCCCATAACTCACATGGCAGTGCTGTTGACCGCACAACTCTTAGCAGTGTGTTCTACAAATCTGGCCTTTCTGTGTGGCAAGAAGCAAACCAGAGTTCATAGTTTGCCACACGTTGCATGCGGGACACAGAAAACACATGAAAAGGCCCCTGACCAAACTTGAACTCTTTGGCCTACATACACCCAAACACACTATTTAGAGGCTGTACTTGTGGTGAAAAATAAATCATTCACATGACCCTGAAGACAACCTTCTCACAGTCAAACATGGTGTGGGAATTGTTTCCTCTAGCAGCAATAGACGTTCGTAGTTGTTGAGAAAATGAGACACAGGAACAGTCCTGGAATAAATCTGTTTAGGTTCATTTTCTAGCGGGGCAGTTACCCTAAGCATACAGCAAATAATCAAATCACATTCATGTGTTAGAACGGTCCAGTCCATTGCAAGATGTTAATTAAAAGCTGCCTTGCATTCCTCACAGTTTGCATCAGTAAAAAATTTGAGAAACGTATGACTTTCTTACCACTTTGCAGTTCTACACTACTTTGTGTTTATCATTTAACCCATTAAATGTCAAGCTGAAAACATCTTCATGTTACCCAATGGGTCATTAGTTTAACCATCACCAAACTCCAAAACACCTTTAGACTGTGTTTGTAAAGAAACAAAATAAGTCCAATGGTTTGCGCGCTTTTCAAAAATGCTGTGTGTTCCCCAGCCACTTTGGGGAAAGTGCAGGTACCAAATAAGCGATGGAAAAATATAGATTTTATTTTATGACACATACTTTCCGTGATTTTAATTAATGGCTTTTGGAACTGCGGTTGTTGCACACCTTTTACCGCTTTCTTGAATAAAAGTCTAAATATTTTACATATGTTTTACCGAGTTAACATTTGGTGGATGTGCAATTTACCACTCCAAGGGTTTCCCCCAGAAAACCTGCTAAGCCCAGTGGTTGGGGCGCTCGGCGGTCATTCGTCCAGCGGCCCGTCGTGTTTTTTGAGTTAAAAAATGTTTAAAGTTGACAGAAAATTTGAAAATATCACTTGATAATTATGTGTTATTGGAAGATTGAAGATTAATATCTGAACACCAACTATAAAGTCTTAAAAAAATGCAAAGATTTAAAAACAAAAAACTGAAAGTAATAAGCAGTGCTAAGCCTGGTGCGGCCACAAGTAAAGCCTGGTGGCTTTACGCTGGGGGAAATCCTGCACTCTGTTTAGCTGGCACATCCAGACTGAGTTTGCCCATTTTACAGAGATAATGTGAATTTGTGTTGTTCCATGGATCAGATAATGAAGGAGTGGGCAGAGGCTGACAACCAGTCCAAAAACCTGCCAAAGCTAGAGCGGCAGGGCCTGAACGAGGTAGACATTTTTATACTTCCGTCTGAGTTTAAGTCTGAACATTTCCCCGAGCCGTTCGTCGGGTTATCAGCTTACTCTTGTTCTCTCTTCCAGCACTTCCAGTCTGTGCTGCAGACGTTGGAGGAACAGGTCGCCGGGGAGAGGCAGAGGCTGGTGGAGACTCACCTCGCCAGAGTCGAGGTCATTCTCAACAACAACCGCCGCCTGGCGTTGGAGAACTACCTGACAGCTGTGCAAGCTGATCCCCCTCAGGTAAATCCATCGCAGAGCGCATACCACGGCAGAAAATGGAGATTTATGCAGCGCAAACCCGAGTAATAATCCTAAGTGGGTTTAAGATTTCACATTTCTGGCAGAGAGCGGACGAGCTTCTTGATGTCGCAGTGCCGGGTCTTCCTGATTGCTTCCTTCCTTTCTCTCTCTCTCTCTCTTAACTTCCAGCCTGAGCGCGTGCTGCAGGCTCTGAAACGCTACATGGCTGCAGAGCAGAAGGACCGCAGACACACTCTGAGGCACTACCAGCACATCGTGGCAGTCGACCCGCAGAAAGCTGAGCAGATGAAATTCCAGGTGGGAGGCTTTAGGAGGCAAGGTGTCTTTTCTGCTGACGGTGAAACTCGGAGAACAGTTTGTGCCGAAGAGCTTGCGTGCTTCAGAGAAGTTCAAAAAATTTCACATCTGTCGGCCTCAACTCCATTAAAGTGAGATCTTTGCGGGCTTTAAAAGCAGCTAAATGGAGAAAACTGGTTCTAGTTTTTGATCATTTTTTTTTCCCAGTTTTCTTCGCTAACATCATATATATATATATATATATATATATATATATATATATATATATATATATATATATATATATATATTTTTTTTTTTTTTTTATTCTGCAGGTTTACACACATCTCCATGTTATTGAGGAGAGGATGAACCAGAGTCTTGCTCTGCTTTACAAGGATCCAACATTAGCTGAGGAGCTGCACGGTGACATCCGTAAGACAAACAGCTTTTTTCTGAACCGTTTGGTTTTACAGTCAGCCTTGTGAGGAAGATGTTTAAATTACATACGCTTACAATGTGAATAAGTGTTATAATATTTTTATCTTTTAATAATTTATCAGAGTGTTTCTTTCAATGTAGAAGTGAAAGAATGCCGATAATAATTAGACAGTAATGCGGGTGCTCAAATTGAGATTTCTTGTGAACTCTTGTCTTATTTCTATAAAGGTCACAACTATATATATATGTATATACAAACTGAAATGTGTAAATACGCTTCCACCAATATTTGGTTTGTCTCCTGGCTAGCAAGTTGAGCTGCAACGCACTGTTAGCTGCCAACAACTTTCTGACATACACCTGATATGTCTATACTTCACTTTATTTAAATTTGTTGCTTTCCAGATGTGAAGCACATTAAACTTATTTTTTCTTTAATCTTACTGTGCTTTATCCAAAACCAGACTCAGTGTGTTTCTGGGATCATTGTCCTGCTGGAACAAAGATTTGTGGCCAAGTTTCAATAATCTAGTTGTTGTTTTTAGGTAAAGTTGGAATAATTTGGAAGTTGTCTTGCTAATTTTACATATAAAATTATGTTATATATATATATATATATAAATTTCATTCGCTTTCAGCAAAATAACTGCTGATCATTGTGCTATTAATGATGAGCAGTTGCAGGGATTTTAGGTTTGAAGGCCTAGTCTTGAGTCCTCTGAGCATTTTTCTGACATTGTTTCTTTATTACTTCAATCAGTGTTCTGTCTCACCGTAAACATTTTCTGAAGAAGGTAAGCAGCCTAACCCATGTAGGCAGCTGCAAATTTTAAGCCGACAAGAGCAGGAGCCTCTCTCTCGGTCAGCACTGGCTGAGTTAAAACTTGTGTCACAGAGAACAACGTAGCCGCCCCTTTTCTATCAAAAACCAACCCAATAACCCCCCCCCTCCACCCCCCAAACAAATATTCTTCATTGCGAGCTCTGACACAGGCCATGCTCAGTTGTCAGCACAGGCTTTTAAAGCTCGAACAAAAGCAGCCCTTCCACCTTCTCTAAGCAAACTTCTAAGTTTGCATCAGATCTGTGGTAAACTGACAGCTCAACCACACAGCCGTCCAACTGGAGTTTCTGTACTGATAGTTCACAACACATTTACACCCAGACAGACCACCAAGAGCTTCTTTTATTTGAACAAATGTCAACGCTAATACGCTGAACATGAAAAGAAAAAAAAAAATCCTTGGCTCACTCAGACAGGTTGTACCTCTTGTTCTACAATAATAGATGTCCAGTTTGAACTGAATCTGTATTTCACTTTCACTGAATTTTATTAATAATCCATCCATGCATTGCTAAAGTGTCATTGTGAACGTTGCCTTAGGACAGATTCTTTGTTTCAGTGGTTTTTCTGATTTCTGTTGGGTGGCGGAAAGTCTCAACCTGGATGGATGGATGGATGGATGGATGGATGGATGGATGGATGGATGGATGGATGGACGGACGGATGAATGGACAAAAATCCATATACACATTTGTTTTTACAGAGAAGCATTTCTCTGATTATTTCAGTTTATATATAATAAAATAAATAAACGGAGGCCTTACTCCTCGACGCAGTCGTCACTGGTTCGAGTCCCGGCATGTTGACCTGTCTTCCCCGTCTCGCAACCCACATTCCTGTCTGACCAACGTCAAGTAAAAGCCACTAAAGCCAGAAAAAACTTTAAAAATAAAAAATAAGTGGTATAAAAATGCATAGTATATCCTTTATATGTAATATTATTTGTTTTGTTTTTTTATTATGTCTGGCCTTCTCTAAATACCTTAAAGGCACTGAGGGTTTCCTTCTGGTGAACAGTGGCGCTGTTGTTCCAGCAGCATCGTGGTTTATGTCACACTGGGCCTGTTTTTCTTCCTGGGTTGCAATGAAACATTCTGATTCCACTTCCTGTCAGCTTCAGGTCAGACGGTTAAAAGCTCAATGCTCATTTTCCCAACCTTGCCGATCCCAAACGGACATATGGCTAGCTTTAAGGTGAATAAACGAGCTAGCACGAAGCTATCTAGAGTGTGGACTGTGCTTCTGCCAGGAAACAAATCGATAAAAAAATTAACTTTAACAAAGCGCCCCTGATGAATTGTGAAATAGCCCACAAGACGTTTGCGGGGAGCTCGTTGATGGCGGTAAAACGCGACACCAGTGTGAATGTATTCATATATTTGAGTCTGCGTTTAGAATAAATGAGCTGAAACTCGTGTGTTCAGTTCATGTTTTAAAAAGTCATTTCAACGGTTTGTTCAAATGCATTATTAAAGGCTCAAGCCTTTCAACAGAACAGAAAATTAGCATTGATAATGTGTGCTTTTTGTGCAATCCCTGCAGAGGAGCTTGTCAAGGCGGAGCGAGGGGACATCAGTGAACTCATGACCACTTCCTTCTCTGAGACTCGGACCACCGAAGAGCTCGTACCGGCAGAGAGCGAGGAAGAGAAGGATGATGAAGAGGAGGAGGAGAGGGCCTTCCAGAACCGCCCCTATCCTCCTCGCATTGGTACTCGCTCGCTCATTACTCATGCATGCGCCCACGTATCTAACGTCCTTTAGCTCTTCCCTCATTTTGTGAGGACGTGTAAAATGATGGTCTGCTTTCTCGCTCATTACTCTTGTTAATGATGCTTCTTTTCCCTCTTCCTGCCTTTTTCTCCTAGATTTACAGTCTAATAAGAAAGGTGAGCTACAGTTCGGCATCATTTAACCGCAGAACTGTGCACTTTACATTAATTACAGCAATTTGTTTATCTTAACATTTCTCATAGCTTATTATGCTTCTGTTTTGTTTTTGTTTTTTTTTTATCTGTTCCTCGTGTGTACAGAGGATGAGTACGATTACACCACATCTGAGAGAGGTCCTACTTATGAATATGAAGAAAAGGTAAGCTGATGGTCACTTTATTCTGTCTGTCTACAAATGCTGAGTATTTTATGTTCATTTATATTTCATTAGACAGAAACGGTTGATGTGAGAAGATGTCCACTTGAAACATCTCCTTGAAAATGTTTTTGCACTGAGACGTTAGCGTCACTACTTAAATGCATAAGGTTAAAAATATTAGTCACACAAGGATACATTTCAAACTTTTTTGTGATCACTGACCTTCTCCACTTGGGCTGTGGTTATTCTCACTGCTTCTTCACTTTTTCCTTCAACTAAGCTTTCCGTTATCATGCTCAGAGACGGGCTGCACCTTAGTGGAGCTGTTCACACTGTCACCTTATAGAAACAAAGTTGTGAGTTCAAATCTAAGCCTGAGGTCTGTCTGCACGGCTGCTAGTGCTCAGCCTTTTTTTTTTTTGGTCTTATACACTGCTGCACAATATATCAATTACGATCAAAACATCACCATATGCAATATCACAATTGCAAAGACCGGCTTGGACATAATATTGAGAATGTTATATTCGGCAAGTTTGATGGAATCTAATTGGCAGAAGTATATTTTTAGTAGCCAAAATTCTAATGCTCAAGGTGAGTAATTGGGACTTTGTATTGCTGTAAAGAAAGAAAAAAATGAATTAATTCTAACTGTTCATTGTGGAGGGTGGGGGGGGGGGGGGAAAAAGTAACACACACATATTTTTTTGTTATGATAAAATATTTGGTAACACTTTATT